GATTTTTAAAATTTAATGTTTTATACATTTAATATTATTATAGGGTCGTAATGACTACTATTGTTATCAGTTTCTGCATAAGTATATTTTCTATCGCAAATTTCATATTCTATTCTATATAATTTAATAAATATCCTTTTATAAAAATTTAAATCATTTTTTATTGTAGCAGTGACATATAATTGTCGAATGCAAAAATATTTTAAATTTAATCAGATTCATTGCTACAATTTCAATTTCGTACACATATAACAAATTCTTACTTACGGAAAACGATTGCGAACAGCATCCAATACGTGAAATAAAGTGCCATAAAGTGTAGAGCTGGCAAATGTAATTTCATAGAATGTTTCCATTGATATAAGAAGACTACAGTTTGTATCAGGACGAAGCTATGGTCGAGAAGCGAAAGGATAGTGGAAGTGACAGCAGGGACGGTAAAGCAATGGGATAAAGTGGTAGTAGAAAATTGAAGAACGAAAGGAACGACGAAGCGGAAGAAGAAGCAAAGTCGCAGAAAACTGCAAACTAGACGGATATGACTTTCCAGTAAATTAAAATGGATTATATATGTGAACTCCATCTTCAATTTTATTTCTCTCTTTTATCGCATTCTCCAACCTACCTAAAACGTATATACGTCCGCTAACTAACAATATCGGTCGTGGGGAATTTAGCGTGTAAAGATATTTAAAAATCGATATATAATCCCATTTTCAATTGAGGAAGAAGGAAGAGAATAATAAAATTCACAAACAATTTTTACCGAAAAATTGAACCTCAAGAAATATGACTATTTTTTACAATTAATTAATTACATTCTCAATGCATATCTATCAAAATAATATTAAAGCCTTTTTCGCAATATTTTATTAAATATTAAATGCATTAAGAAATTGAACAAACTATGGAGCATGTGTATTTATGTGCGTAATTTTTTTAAATTCTAAAATCTGATGGCAAAAATACCGATTCTTTTTGGAAACAATAGAATGAGCTTTTATGGATATACCATATAATATCGTCCGAAGGAGAAAGGATGATGAGAAGGGAAGTACTAGGTCGGTATCCACAATTCTGAAAAGCCCAACTCCGCCGTTCGGGGAAGGTCGGGACACGGAGTCGACCATGATGTATGCTTCTCTTCCGTCTAATTAAACTTGGGGAGGGTCGCCGAGTTGGTTGGTGCGCCGGTTGTACGGACGTACGTACGGTCGGACTGACAGCGAGGGGAGGACGGCTTTCAAAATGACAACCGGAGAGAGCGAGAAAGAAAGAGAGAGAGAGAGAGAATCGGCACTACTGAACGAGAGAAGAACGGAAGAGAGATCCGCGCCTCTCCGCGAACGCATGAAACGGTACTTATAGTGAGAGTGGGATCACCATCGACTTCCTCCCAGGAGATTCGATGCACTTAACTTCTATTACATTATTCATACGCGGCGATAAACAATTCGCTGAAAAAAAAGAAGACGGCGGCGGAGCCACGCCGGACGTTCGTGCCGTACAAAACTTTTATCGGGCATTGGCAAGCGTCGCGATTTTCGAAAATATCGCCGAGTCAGCGTAACGTGGCAAAACATGCGAGCCTGTGCGGGGATCTGCGCCAACGAATACATAAACTTGCTTTTAGGAAATTCCATTAATCTCCAGTTGCACTCCGCTACCATATACACGAAGTTCGTTTTGTGCAATATATCGATTATTTCAGCGAAATAATTCTCTTTTTTTCTCGTCTGCTTTTATTCACTTTACTGATTATAACGAATACTATTTTCTCTCTCAAAAGTATCTTACGATATCGATATAAGAATCACTATTTGATTTTTCATATCTCTTATCGGGACCGATCCATTTAAATTATGATTCAAGACAGACTTACAAGAGCGCGAACACTTGTGCATGATCTTTTTAGTTTAATCGCTAACCGTACTTTCTGGTGGATTATCTAATCTAACGATAAGTTGATTAATTGACACGCTCGTATAAATATACAGATAAGAAAATACATGATATCCGAGGGAAAAAATTAAGCAATAATATTAATAGTTCCTTCGAAGTTGCGAATAATCCAAATCGCGATCGTTCAGTCAACAATATGATTTTTTTCAGAACCGCGCCTTACAATATAATATAATAAATGCCGCACTTAAACATTTCTCTCGAATCTCCAATTCATATCAAGACATGAATAGGCGAGGCATTGCTCTCTACATTGCCATTCTATTCCTCTGTACTTACTTTGCAATATTTATGTCTCTATGTTAATTCTAGCACCGAAATTATATTGCGAATTATTATATTACACCGTAAAAATTATCAATTTTTATTTTCTCTTCCCCATCTTTTTTCTCTGTATATGTGTGTATGTATTAATACATTCAATTTCCTTCGCAATTTTATTCCTCGCAATGTATTTATCTCCTTCATTCTCTCCTCGCTATATCTTTTTTCGTTTTATACATTTTAATGCAATGCTCACCGCGCCCGGTATTCGCTTTTCCATAGAACGCTACTTATTTCCCTCTGTCGATCTCTCTTCATCTATATCTAAACTATGTGTATACATACATAAACTATGTCTATTCAACCGTGCCGCGGTGCGCTCGGCTGCTTCCCGTCTACCGTGTCAATGCGGACTAGCAAGCTGCTAGGAAACGGGACAGACCATTGGCGCGCCCCAACAAATTCCTTGGCGCGAGACGTCGCGCGATTCCGAATGTTTAACCAGCTAGCTTAAACGACGCTAGATGGTTGAACACGATCTGGAATTCTCGACGGCAATGCTTCTATACGACACGAAATCGGTATGAGCGACGATCACATTCGCGTATTAGACACAACGAATTTACGGCGAATATCATTTCGACTCCCTTCAATTTACTAAGTATCCTCAAGGAATTTTGGGGAATCGTATTATATAACATTTCGTTGATTATCGAATTGTTGTACTGCGTTGAATCGCGACGTGTACTTAAGTTCGCAAAATCGCGGTCATCGATCCTTCAAGATTGCGCGCATCGTCTTTACGAAGAAAACAGGAAGTTAGGACATTAAACGTGCGAAGAAACGTAGTAAAATCGTAATTCGTTGGGCGAAAAAAGACAAAATATCGGGGAGAGGCGCTTAAAGACCTTGGCACTTGAGTAAATACATGGCCGGCTCGCGCCAGTTACTCTTTCAAGGTGTAATATGTATCCAGTCCACCGAATGAATTCCGGGCCGCGGTATAGTCGCTTAATCGCTCGTAATAACGCCGAGACGAATGCGGCCCTCCCCGAGACGACTGTCGCGAAAAACCTCCGCAATTTCTGGCGGATGGCACCGTATAATCGCTCGCGGACGAGTTCCGTGAGTTCTGATGCTTGAATTTGACGTTTTTTTCGTCATTACAGCGAACACATTTTTATCTTTTTGCAATCCGATGAACTTCAAACGTGAGAAAAACGAAGGGCATTCGTATTCTTTCTTTTAATTGTATTTTAAAATCCGCAAATTTTAATTGCATACGTCATAAAAATGTTATAATTACGATAACTACAGCTTGAAATTATATTTGAATAAACATATTTAGAACGCGTTAAATAAAAGTGACGTTAAAACAAAAGCGCGTTGTCCCGATAGATGCGTATAAGATTTAATGAAAACGCAAGACACACAGGGGATTAGCGCGTGCATATCGATCGAAACTCTCTCCGTTCTCCCGGATGTACATCGAAACAAACTTTGAACGAATCGACAGACATCGAAACTCAGTCGTCGGGGGACGGGTCCCGATGCCATCGTCGGTTTACACTAAAATCCTTTTAACTTGGGCATCGCGTATGAGAGAGAGAGAGAAGGTCGTTAATATCCGCGAGAGCTTTCGACGACGCGATTAACCAAGAGGCAAGAGAAGCGTCGACCACGGACACGTCTTTCTACGAGCGAGCGCGGTATCGTCATCGCGCAAACAACGTATATGCATTAAACCATGAACCCACTATCCCTGACGTCATATCCAATACACATTGTTCGGGGGTTGCTGAAGCCGCGATACGGTACAGGGAAGCGAGGAGAAGAGGAGACGGTGGAACGGTAGGTGAGGGGAGGGGAGGACGGTAGGTGGCTGCAGGGTGGTTTCGAGGGTGGCTGCCAACCCCCCCAGTGCGGTAATGGCATTAACCGAGCTGCAATATGATTACCGCTCTCGCAAGGTAACCTGATCACACCCGAAATCTATGGGGTGTCCAAAGTACGGGAGAACAAGCGAGATAGAGAGAGATAAAGATAGAGAAACTTGTACATATAGCGAGGGACAATGTATTGCTTGAAATAGCCGCGCAACGTTACGCAACTGCGGCGACCGCCGTCGACGCCGGGGGTTCGGCTGGCATTCTCCCCCTTAATCGCGTTGCGCTTTTTGCGGCTCAGATTACCCGTGAATCATTAGATACTCGGGGCCCCGGTAGAATCGAGAGCTACCACTACTACCAACGTACTACGGATCATTCCTTATCTCGGTATTACGAGATTAGCCTCCTGTCGTTTCTCTATCTCGCTTTCTCTCTTTCTCTTCCTCTTGTTTTTTAATTCTCTTTTTTGTTCGACCGAGCGTACTTTTTCCGCTAATTGCCCGCGGATTGACATTGACACGTGTCGTGAGACGTGGAATTCTTTTTCTTCGAAAATTCAATAAGAAATCCGGATAGGATTGATTCGTCAAGATATAAATATATCATTAAAAAAATTAATTGCACGTATTTTTTACATTAAAACTAAGTCTTTACATTTCATCAATAATGACGGAAAGCCATTAACAGTTTGAATAACCAGAAATATATATGTCAGCGACACAGTTTTTTCTTCATATTCGCGATTATGAGTAAAATATGCACAAAATGATACAGATAAAGTTGACGACTGACAATCCATTATTTTGACAGAGATATCGCAAAGCTGAATCGCTTTTGAAAACAGGAAACATTCTCAATGCGCTATATGAGGAAGAAGGTACTTACCGTGAGATGTTGAAAGAGCCACGCCCTGAGGATGTTCGTCGCGACTTTGGGAAAGATACCCCGTTTCTTTTGGTTTTTCTTGCCCGTCGAATCGTCGTCTTCCTCCCCCGTACCCTCCCCGCTACCGATACTCGCGTTACTCGCGTCACCTGCAACAGTAAGAAGAGAGCCAAGGTCACCACGTGCCGCCTCGGTAATCCGAATTCACTGCAAAAAAAATTTAATTTTTTCTCTTTTACATCTTTCCTTAATGAAAACAAATATGTGGACAGACGATTTTTTGAAATTGATTGAAATAAAAAAATGTCGATTAATTGTCAACGAAATATGCTGAGATGAAATATTAGCTTAGATTAGTTAATTGTTCGTTTAAAAAAATTCGGTGAATAAAGTAAGAGAAATCGATTTCGATTAAATCGCGAGATGCCTCGCACGTCGAAGCAGGATTTCCGACGCGTTTAAACCGCGCTCCGATTTTCGGTCCATACCCTGGTGGGCGATAACTACCTCGACCCTAGGGCTGGTTCCCATGCATACAAACACCATTAAGCCACCCGCAATCACCCAGCCCCCTTCGACCCGGCGGACCCCGTACACACGCTCCGTTCTCGGCTCAACCGCGTACCCCTGCCTCCTTTCCACCCCACTTCGCCATCACCCCGCGTGCATTAATTCCCCGTCATTTATCAATCTTAGCTTTTTAATTGCACAGTCACTGGGGACTCGAGAAGCAGGACAGTAATGAGAGATATTAAGACGCTTTTGGTTATGTAGGCCGCTCTCCGGTAGCTAATGTCATTTTTTTCATATTATTGATCGTATTTCGAGTTACTGTGCAAAGTTGCTTATATATTTTTTCATCTATTATATAAAATGTACTACACATTTCAATACATATTTAATAAATTACATTTCATATAATATGTGTACTTAGATATGATCTAAATTCTTCTATTGCAAGAAGGGAGAAATCTCACATCAATCGTAAGTTTTCATCTGGCAAAACGCAATATTACAGGTTACGCGGTTGTGATGATATTACGGGCATGATCGTTACCGTTGTGACGTGGGGTTAGTAGATGGCGATTATGGAATAAAATGCAATTTCGTTGGAATTCCCGTGATGTCCCGGAGAATCAATCTCCCGGACGAGCCTGGGCGCCGGAAGTTCGAGGTTCCCTTTATTCCTTCTCCTCGCAATCAGCCAGAAAGGAGGGCTACTTACGCCAGCGGATTATAAATGACCGAGCCTTATCGTGGTGCCCAAGGCCCCGGTTCCCAAGGTTCTATCGTAACAGAGAGATCAGGGTGAGCCCGGCGCTCCCAGGGGGTTCACGATGACAGGTCGCCCGGGAGCGCCGTCGACCCACCCCTCTCGCTCGCCAAAGAACGGTCTCGTGCCCGAGATTAACTTTGAATTCGTCGAGCGAACCGTCGTCGGGCGAGGGATGGGCGACGGCAGGCAGGCAGAACGAAAAATTTGTCCGTCGTAGGAGCGGACGGACCGGAACGACGGGAGATCGATGGAAATCGGTACCGCATACGACGTATTCTCGCGTATATACCGCTTTCCTGAATCGCTCCGGGGGAGAGAAAACGAGAAAAGGCCTCGGATCTGCGACCTAGCTTGATGGGCATTCATCGTATCGCGACGCGATTCGTTCCGTTGATCCGGACAAATTTTAAAAAATGCAATTTAAAAAAAAACAAACTTTTATCTGTAACTGTAATTTGCAATAATGAAGAATCAAGTAGAAAACGCATAACCTGGTCCGCAAGATATCGGATACATTTACGATACGCTGAAAATATAAGCGGACAAATTCAAAGACGTTAAGATAGCAAAACTACGTCAGCGTTATGGATTCGTTCGATTAGTTTCACGTGGGTCGGCGATTCCGATGGTCATTTTTTTCCTCGTTGACCAAACCTGTTTTCCATCCGGAGCCATTGGCGGCGGTCGTTGCGCATACGACAAAAACGACGTTAGATGTCCACCCTCTCTTCGGCTCAGAAGCCCGTTAATGGCGCGCCCGCAAAGTCGAATAGGGCGGCCTGCGAGCTCATAGAACGAACGGCGGGTGGCTAGCGGAATAACGGAATGGCTAACGGGAACGTCCCTCTGATTGCAGTTAATTTACTCGCTGAATCGGGTTAATGTAGCGTACAGGTCGTACCGTGCTGTGCCGTGCGGTTCTGTACGACGGCGACCTATCGGTGTCCCGGCGAAAGAAAATGGTTTCCTTCGTCGGAGTATCGTTCATCGTGCTCGCCGACTCGGACCGAATTCTTTTTAATCGCGCAATAACTTCCTGCGCGATTAATTCAATTTCGTAATGGCGAGCACCATTATCTAAATACAGTCTACCGATTTCTATCTTGGAAGCGGAAAAATTGTAAATCGTACAGAAGAATTGTAATTGGAACAAGTTCTAGAACACACCTGGAAACGTAATAATTTATTGCTAGCGTAAGAAAAATACCTGCGAGGCCGCATTGGAAAAATATTATATTATGAGTGCAATAATTCATTCGATATGTATGACACGGTTTCCCTTGACAGGTCGTTAAAATCTTATTTAACTTTAGAGATAGCCGGCTTTAGATACGTTGATGCACATATGTAATCCAGCTGCACTGGTATTTCACGCGCGATCATCCGCCCACATAAGCTGTCATCGATAATGTAATGTCGTTCCTCGTCGCAATCGAACGCGCGTCATGGGATCAGAATCGCGATTGACGACCCACGCTGAATGTTCCGACACGAGACAAAAATATGAGCTTTGTGTATATGAAATTTAACAATATTCTTATTCAAAATACTTGTGCTGTATTTAAAAAATAAAAAAAAAATAAAAAAAAAATATATTTTCCCAGCATATTTTCAATGTCCTCTGATTATTACGTCGCAAAATGCGAATATCTCTACTATTATCATAGACAGTAATCGATAAATATAGTTATTCGTATACCTATATATATATCGTTTACATCCTCACCGTAGAAATTGATAGCGCAAGACCACCTACGCATCTCGCACACGACGATCACATATATCGACGAGCGAGTATATTCTACGACCGATACAGAACGGTAACCCAGAACTCTAGCGATGGGTACACATATGCTCGTGCGTAGCACGAGTGCGTTCATTCACACGTGTACTCTCGCGCGTGCTATACAACGCGTTTACGAGGACGCTCTCGGCGGCGAAACAGGCGCGACGAACGTCGACGGCGGCGACGGGGGTAGAAGCCATATCGTCCGCGTGTTGATTTACGCGGCGTACCGCGCATTTTTACTGCCGCGTTATAGAGATTTAAGTGCGGCCAATTATACGTTTATGCGTCGTCTCCGCGTCTGCTCTCTCTTTCTCCCTTTCTCCCTCTCACTCGCTGACTCTTCCGATTCCGTTCAACAACGTTTCCGACCAACGCGCGAGTCCCCGAAACGACGCGTCCGGTTTCTTTCTTCCTTTATTTCGACCTGTCGCAGCTATACTTAGCGGATGGAGAATGGGCGAAGTCTTGCATACGTCGGCGATAATCTATTTCGAGTGAGCCAAATCTATCGCGCGCGCCATTCTCAAAATCAGAAAATACAACTCTTTGCTAGACGTACATCGCGCTAACGATGGTAATAATTAATCAATTGCGATTTCCGTTTTAGGCTAGGAATATTAATTGAAAGAAAGAGATGAAATACACATGATTGAATTTATAATCGTTGCTAAATCGGTCCGAGATCTGTATGAGATATCTGAAATTTAGAGAATATCCACTTGTAACATCCTCTACGTTTCTCCTTTCATTCGTCCATAATGCTGTACGTATATGCAAGTATATTATAGAATTACATAATTCATAGATTCGAAAACGTTTAGAATCTCCGGGGAAATCGATAGACCCGTTGATCACGTTGGAAAAAACGTCAAGCCAAGAACATCTTCCTCGAAGACGAGGCCGCAGCCTCTATTTAGGGTGGCCGCGCAAACTGTCGAAATAACCAGCGCATATGGCCGCCGAAAATAAACTCCTCCTTATTCCCATCCCGTCGAAGCGAGGACCGCGCTCGTCTCACTCTTTCTCTCTCCCTATCTCTCTTGGCTTCTCGTTTGCGTTTCTCCTCTTTCCATCCTTCCTCATCAGTGTTTCTTCCCAACTATACGTTTCGAACTTTAGATCGCATACGACTTTAGAGGCGAGCTCGAGGCTCTCCGATATACGCGTAGGTAGATAGAAGACGTCCCGGATACCGAAATATTTATTTGTTGCCACATAAGAAGGATCACGAGGCAAAGGGTGAGGGAAAAAATCGAGAAAAAGATGAGACGTCGTAGACGTCTCTTCGAGTATCGCGATCACGAAGACGCATTCCGCGATTGAGAGCTTGACGATATCGAAGCGAAATTTTATGAGTCACGATATAATCATGGCGAGAATTATTGATCGCCCTCGAGAAAGAAGAGGCGGCAACAAAGAGCTTTCGGCTCGTGATTTGCGCGGCTGAGAATCGCGGGGAAGGTCGTTGCACCAAAACACGCTCTTCTGGCTCGTGTTGATCCGAGAGTCTTCGCGGCGGCCTCGCGGCGACCGCGAGGGGGACAGGGGTCTCTCCTCTCGACGATTCCCAGACTATTTTTGACGATGAAATGTGGCTCGCCGGTGTTGCCCGCCGCGAGAGGATCGTCGCGGTCGATTTCACGAAGCGCGCGTATCCACGCATCTGTGGGACGCGTAATACGAGCACCGTTTAATCCGAGAATCTGCTTAACCGGGAGATTAATCGGCGATTGTGAATGAGATGAGGCGCGATGAGGAGCTCTCTCAAAGTCGGCGCAGGAAGATCGCCGCATCTCGCGAAGGTAGTCGATGTGAGAAGCGCACTTTGTGGAAGTTTGTCTTACAAATGAGCCGCACGACGCGTATAATTTAGTGTGCCGCGTTTGCGCGTGCACATTGGCAAGTAATCTAGGACAAGATTTCTTTTTCTCATCTTATCCACTTATCATTTTTTCACTTTCTCTCAGTTTATTGTATCTTCCATCTATACAAAAATATTAATGAAGGAATCACATTTTGAAAGTTTCGATTCAACATTCCAATATTTTTCCATCGAAATCGATAAAATTGATAGATCAGTTTTTATT